CTAATAATGATCCTTATTGCTGTTTTAGAGAAGAGCGGTGCTTCAAAGGATAGTTGGAAATTTCTGTCAGAATCTGCCGATTATACAGTACAAATAAAATGTTCACATTTTGCATTGTCTTCCCAACAGTTTCACTGGATGACCAGGAAGCGTTCGCGATGTCTTCTCCGGCGCTGATAATTGCCGTCTGTCAGTGACGTAAAAGACGGATTTAATGCGACATGACCATTCAAACAGCAGTCATTTTCTGAAACATCAGATATGTATCAGATTCAGTACCACATACCAAAGTGATATTTGAAAATATCGGATTTGTACTGTTCAAACTGTCATACCATGATCGGGTATGGGTCGCATAGGGTCAAAAAAGTTGGATTTGATGCGCTTTCGCCTGCAGTGTGAACGTAGCCTAATATGTGAACATCACTAATATTTTGAGCCACCTTGAAACATGTTATTAGTATTTTAGCACTCTGCAGCATATCTGTTAACAACTCTTTTCCCCTCCAGTGGGCGGGGCTTTCACTTACACTACGTCTAGTGTTTATCTCATTTATAGACACACAGTGATGACAAGAAAGGATATTTAAAAAATGCTCTTTTTTACATTTTAATGTACATTTTGTCACCAGAAAGAAATTCAAGATGTTTCTGGCATGTCACCCGTCAGTGAGCACTTATTGTTTGGAGAACAGATAAGCAGTCAGACACCAGTCAGAGGAGAAAGATGACAAGGAATGATGATGAAGCTTGTCTCTGTGTTTTATCAAAGAAGAATAGAGAGGGAGAAATTCGATTCAGAGGGAGGAGAGAGTGGATGTGTTGGTGGATGTGTGTGTGTGTCATAGTTAGATTAGCCTTTAGGATGTGGTGTCATACAGGCTGACCTACAAGTGCGAGACAGAAAGAGCAGAACATCTGGCTGTGACGGGCAAACGGGCGTTCCCCGAGGCTTGGAGGAGGATGAACTAATCTGATCAAAGAGAGAGATGAGATGTACAGACAAATAGTCTTATACAACTGGGCTCTATCAGCAATATGGCTGTCTTTCTACATGTCACACTGCAAGATGGTGCTAATAAAATCTTGGGAGTACAACCTCAATATTGGAACAGATCAGATTGTGTGATGGATACCTAGTGGACACAGGCTCTGTGATTTAAAAAGGAAGGACAAACGCATGCAGATCTGCAACACAGGCTCATGCTGATTGGTTAGCTTGTACATGTGGGTTGTATACCGTCAGAAACAATGGTACCATAAAAATCCACCTATGTCCGTAAAGGTAAAATGAAATGTATCTCTCCAAGGCTAATTAAAAAACTGCAAGGTGTAACATTTAAGGTCTCTGCATGCAGTTACAGGTGCATATTTGCACCATTTCTATTTGATTTTTGTAATATACCATGTCTGTAATATACTTACATATCTATACTATTGCTAATATATATTGTAATATATCTATATCACTAAAGCACTTCTGGATGGATGCAAACTGCATTTCGTTGCCCTGTACCTGTGCATGTGCAATGACAATAAAGTTGAATTCTATTCTATTCTGATTTCAAGGTGCAGTCCAAGGAGACAGTCTGTTTTCAAGCAAAAAATACATGAATCTGCTCAGATTTCAAGATTTGATCACTTAAGCTAAAAAAAAAAGCATTAAATACACACTGACAGAATTTATTTTGCATCTGTCAAAATGAGATGGCACAAAGGTTAGTAAGTAAGGATCTTCTTTGTTAGTACTACTAGAAAATGGTTGAAAATGTGCCAGTACAGCTCCTTGTTTGTGCTGATGCTATTCTTGTAGGAATTGGAGACGATGTGTGGCTTGTAACAATCAGCAACACTTGGTCCCGGTGTGCCTGTGCTCCATAAAACACTTTTTTAGAGCTCAGTTGCTGTTCTGAGGGGTATTCTATGAACAAAGCTCAACACAACCAGGTTTTCTTACCCTTTGCCGGATTAAAAAACTTGAAACCCCAGTTGGAGATAATGGGTATGACGGTGGTGGTTATTAACGTCCTTTTCTAAACCGGACTTTCTGCCTCAGGCTCTGTGCGTGCTCACATAAAACGGGGCATTTCACAGGTCATATGATCCTTCTGCAAAAAAATATCCCCGAGTGCCACCAACTCCAATCAGAGACATTATCAGATCTATAAAGAAAATAAAAAACAGAAACAGAAAAACCCAACACAGTTCCAAACAACACAAGAGAATAATGCTGCAGGAAATTGTAATCTTGTGATTGAATGCACAGAGCGGTAAAGTTTATATTTTATATAGTTGCTTGTTGCTTTGAACTTCTGTTAGTTAATTACATTAAGATCCATACAAACACACATCACACTCCAGTCCAGTTGCTTTTCTTTCTAAGCTCCCTAGATTATTTTGGACAGTTAACCTGAAATTCTCACAACTCACTAGATGGGCCGTTAGACCTAAAAACCCTTGTAGGGGTTTTTTTTTTTAGGTGTTTTCCACATTTTAGATGCTAAAGCAAAGAACAAATTGATGTGCAAAGCTTGAAATACAGCAGACTTTCTTCAAGAAATGACTGGTTAAACATCTGAATACTCATCCCTAATATTATTACCACATTGGTTGGCTGCATGCCAAATATCCTTGGGCAAGAGACTACCCCATGTTTGCCTACTGGTGGTGGTCAGAGGGCCTGGTGGCGCCTCGCCTCTGTCAGTGCGCCCCAGGGCAGCTGTGGCTACAATGTAGCTTGCCATTGCCAGTGTGTGAATGTGTGTGTGAATGGGTGGATGACTGAATGTAGTGTAAAGCGCTTTGGGGTCCTTAAGGACTGAGTAAAGTGCTATACAAATGCAGGCCATTTACCATTTACAATTGATCTACTTGCAATCAACACCATTTATCAGCATAGCAAAACATTCTGAAAATCTCCGACTGGGTTAGAGTTTCCCTCTGAGTCTCACTTCACCAGCCGTCACTTTAATCTCAGCTGAAATCACATGTGAGCATCTACTGTGTTTACACTATGCGGCATGCCGTGTGTAAAGCAGCATATGGAAATGGTTACCACTTATCTCTTTTATACGTAACAAGTTAATAAGTGAAAATGTTAAAACGCAAAGGGTCAATCTTACAGAAGGTAAGGTAAGGTTACAGAAAAATGTAGGAATAAGATGTTGCTTTAAGTATTACTGGCACTGACAAAAATGTTCGAGCACAGAAGATGCAGCATAAACTGCATGTAAAGAACCACCCTTAGGCAGAGCATTGTATTATTAAAAGGAATCTTTGCCAGTTAGGGAGTAGATGGGATTTATTAAAGTTTGCTGGATGTGAGAACTGGAGATTATAGAGAGAAACCTCTGCAAGACTGCCGGCTAGATTAAGGATTAATGAGGGCGTTACAGAAACATGTCTATTCCTCAGACGAGCTTACTTCCCCTCCTTATTTATATATCTCTTTCCTCATTTGCATCCTCTCTCTCGCTGCTATAAATTCTTGGTTTCTGGTTACTCTTTACTACTCTTTACTTCTCTTCTGATCTGAAAAAGGCACACCACACTGAGCTGTGATCGTGTTCAGCTGACTCATGCCTCCAGATCTTACTCCCACCAGCACCGCATGCAGGTTGCTTGGTTCCTGTGTTCATGTGTGTGCCCCCTTCAGATCACTTAATTCAATAAAAGCACTACGTATGTGCTTAAGTTAGTACAGTTCTTCTCCACAATGATCCACAACAAAGTCAGTGAACATAACGCTACTGCTGCTCTGATTTGGATTTACTTGCTAACAGTTGGGTGGGTAATCTCCCCACCTGCGCTAATATACAGTATCTCCTGAAACACAGAAGCCAACACTTGATTACATAAATATGAGTACTGAGCGGACCCGTTGCTGTATTAATGCACCTTTTAAGCTTCACTTACAACAGCAATAAGGACAAATTACACATGCCAGCCCTAAGGACATTTTTGTGAAAAATACTGGCTGTTACCCTCCAGTGTGATAATTGACTTCAAGGCATTTGGGGTCAAGATTTGTTGATTCAATTCTGCAGAAAGGCTGCATGAATTACAGAGAATTATACTGAAACCACCATGAACTACTCTTACCAAGATACAGCTGAGTAAACGTCTAACGTATTTCCCGTGAAGTGCTACACATCTGTGTGGAAACAGCTTGTATAAGCCCGTGGGTGTAGCGAGCATCTCCTGGATGAGATGCTAAGAAAGCATGCCCAGGAAACTGTCCCAGATTAAAAGATAATAAGATCAGTCTTAAAGGCCTAGTCTTAAGATATATAAATATAAACAGAGAAATTATGAGAGAAAGAAATGCCAATCAGAGAGTGAACTGAAAAAAATGCAGTGACCAATGAAATAAAAGGTTTTTTAATGTATTATCTAAATTATCTAATCAGAGGTTTTTGAAGATTGGCTCCTAGAAACACTTTGGACCTGGTACCTGTGTTTAATCTCACCTACATACTAATAGTTTGTTTACTCTAGTCCGAATCAGTTTATAACTTTTTTCCAGCTTTTCCCCATCATTTGGCTTCTAAAACCCAAATAAACTCTAAGCAAACAAAAATGCGTCACTACAAACCACGTGAGAATGTTCAGTGCGCTCACTGGCCAGATGTGTCTGGGGTCAGAGCAACAAAAGTAAACAGAAATAAGGTGGAGAACTTATATTAATCTTAGAGCTATTTTAGCCCGTACAGATATATAATACCTTTCTGCATCGCAAAAAAACAAAGCATACAAAGCTACAGGAAGTTTTTTACCTTAAACTTGCGACGTACATGTGGTAGCTGGTTCAGATCACATTCACATTATTAAAGAACCGCTACACCTACATCCTCCGCCACATCCTCCAAAAGGTCTCGATGCAGTTGTTTTGGTCCGCACCCGAGTTTGATTCAAAGAAACGAAACACTGCAGGTGTGAAAACACCCTGAAAAGCACCTGTTGCTGTGCTAAACACACATTCCTCATGGCTCGTGCCTCACCTCCATTCCAGGACCCGTTGTGGGGTAATACTGTTACGGTGGCGTCATGGTCATGGCTGTCCAGCGATGTGGTTCCATCAGCATCTGTAACCTCAGGCTCCTGCAGGCTGTCCTCCTCCACAATGTGTAGCTTGTCCTCGTCATCGGAGTCTGAGCTGGCCTCCAAGCCATTGTTGAAGTTTGTCACTGCAAGGGAAAAAAAAAAAAAAGATTTAGTGTTTTGAAATGATCTAACCACTTGATAACCACATAAACAACTCGTTCTCAACCCCAGCACTGAAAAGCCAGCACCCTGTTGCTGTAATCAGTGTTTGATTCACATGTGGTGAACAGAATAAAGGCAATTAACTTCAGTGTGATTAGCATCTGAGCTGCATGGGGAAAAAGCCTCTATGTGCCCCCTTAATGTCTCCCATTCGTACATTTCACATCATAAAAGAAACTTCTTGAATTCAACTTATGCTTCTAGTTTGTGTGTAACAAAACAGAAAGTTGAAATGTATGTGTTGCAAAAATACATAACAGGCCATGCTGACGTTAAATCATCTACTTCATTTGTACTGCAAGCACCTGTGATCCTGTATATACATAATGCTGGGCTTACACTGCGATTTTTGGCCCATTTTGAGCCGATTTTTGAGTCGTGCGACCGTTTTGGCGATCGGCCCGATTTTGGCCTTCATCGTGCGTCGTGCATCGTGTAGTATACGTGGGGTAACGAGAAGCGATTAACACCTCACGACCAGCTCCCAATCATCAATCGCTTGGTCGCAGGGGATTTCAAACCCTCGCGACCGTCGTGAGGCTGTCAGCGCAGCTTCTCACACTGCGCACGCGCAAACACAAATGTCAGCGGACGCACAGTGTGAGCACAGTGTGAGCACTCAGGTCGCATCAGAGCATCGGGCCGTATAGTGTGAGACCCTGCATCGTGACCTACGAACTTCTAACCCCCGCGAGTCAATCGTGCAGTTTGAGCAGAAGCTGGCTAACGCGACTGAAAAAAAATCACACAGTGTATGCCCAGCTTAACCCTGCTATCCAGCAGGAAACGCATCACTCCCTGATATGAAACCCTGACTCTGCCTCTGAAGAATATGCTGTATTTTCTTGTGTGTTCACTCTTTTGTTTTTAGCATTTATTGAATTAGACACAAGGGAGGGAACAAGGGGGACTTGCATGCAGGAAACGGTCTGAGGCAAAATCAAACCCTGGCCCCTGCAGCCTCTCCGCCTCAGTGTATGTGGGTCACCTGCTCAACCAGGTAAGCTATAGCAGCACCTGACTTGTTTTTCCAGGAAAGCACTGACTTTAATATTTTGACCTTCAAGTTAAGCCTGTAAAATCTGTGAAACGCATTCATAAGTGAAATGACTCTGTGTGTGTGTGTGCGTGTGCGTGTGTGTGTGCGTGTGTGCGCGTGCGTGCGTGCGTGCGTGCGTGTGTGTATATGTGGACGGGTATTAACATCTTTGTGGGGACCAAAAATTGGAAGTTTACTATATTCGTGGGGACCGACAGGCCTCGTGAGGACAAAAATTCCGGTCCCCACAAGTTTGAAGGCATTTTTGAGGCTCAAAATGCGGTTTTAGTTACAATTAGGTTATGGTTAGGTTTAGGGTAAGGGTTAGGCATTCATTTTTGATGATTAGGGTTAGGGTAAGCGGCTAGGGAAAGCATTATGTCAATGAGATGTCCCCACACTGCTAACATAAAACACAATAAAATGTCAATGCCCACTGAATACAGAAAGAAATCCATTATTTTGAACATGTTTGTATTAAATGTGACAAAACAAATGTATCTTATTTGAGCCACAAATGTTGGTTTTAGTGCCTTCTCTCTGTGAACACTGCAAAAACCTTTTTAATAGACTATATTATCATATCTTAATCTTTAAATCCTGAAATCTGATCCTCAAAATCGTTGCTGCCCTAAAACCTGCATCAACAAAAATAAACCATTGACTTTATGCACGTGCAATTTTCATCTCCAAATACGAGGAGACGATATTAAAAAAGGACAAATGGCAGCCGAGGGTAAAAATAATCACTTGTTTACCAGCCTCTGAAAGCAAATCTATTTCACACTGCGCTGCAGTCACTGAGTTTGTCTGTAGGATACGACTTCTTAATGGAAGCTCGGTGTGAAAAATGGACCAACTGGACCGATCTGAATGAACTTAAGAGCGAGAAGTGTGCGGGGGGGATTTAGCACAAAGCTGTAGATGCTCGAGACACGGATGCATACAAGTAAGTGATGATGAGCAAAATATGCTGCAGTGGCTTTTTAACTGTCAGCATGAAAACACAAACGAGCGCGAGCGAGCACACGAGAGTGTGTATATAAGTGAATAAAACTGCGTGTAAGTGTGTGCGCTCCACAGGGAAGATGTACGTCTCTGCAGAGGTGCTGAAGACACCTAATGAGGAGAAGAGCTCGGGCTGTTTGTTCACAGGTGACAGGTGCACACACACACACATAAAAAATGCACGCACGTCTTCAACCACAAGACAAGCTCTACATGTATAGTTCAGGTTGTGCCGTTACCTCATACCTCTTTGCATGCAAACACTGCACACCAGATCACACACACCTACTGAAACCCACCTACATTTAGCCTATGACACCTACTGAGCTCACACACTTTATTTAAACACACAGAGACTCCAACACCACCCCTCAAGAAGTGAGGTGGTGCTTTCTGGAGACAATTCAGTCACTGCTCCAGGCAGACGAGCAGAGCTGTGAATGCAAAGCCCTGTCTGTGTGTTTATGGTGTGAGGTCGATGCCTGTCTGGATCGATGTAAGAGGCTGGAGAGTCATAAAAAACATTTGCTGGAGCTTCAGTTTATGATGTAACACCAACCAAATGATGGAAATACGAGTACTCGAAACATTTTAAAGGTTGGTGTTAGAAATCCTTGAATGTGTTTATGTTAAAAAGCAATACAGGAATAATTTTCATATGGCATCATGTATCTGTGATGAGCAGAGCAACAACAAAAATGAATAAATATCTCATCTGTACACTGTGATGAAGCTGGTGACCTCAACTATATCTGTAATTATTTAAATCTTCGCGTTAGTCTCCCAAACACTTAGTAAAAGATTTATAGACATATCTATCTGACCAATAGTCTAAAACCCCTTTAATAGCACCCATGTTTGGACTCATCATGCAAGCTGGAGTTTTGTATGTATACACGGATTTGTATCTTTGTTCAAAAAAGAGAAAAACCAAATGATCCAGTGATCTGCTATGAGCAAACACTCCAACAGCAGGGAGAAAAAAAAGCTCCTTTTAAACTAGGCTCAGGGAGGGCGGCCATCTGTCGCGACTGGTTATTCTGTGGGAAATGGCTTCTGGATAGTGAAAGCATCAAAGTGTGAAAGTGATCACTGTTAAAATTCATTGAAGCTGTTTATAAATAAACTGCAGTGCCCATTTCCTGTGTTAGACTTATCACTGAGTTTTTTTTTAGTGTTTGGGTGGTCAGTTAAGTTGTGTGTCACTATTGTGTAGCTATAGCAGTGTTGGGTAAGTTACTTTAAAAAAGTAATTCATTACTAATTACTTAGTCAATATTGTATTTAAAATACTTATCTAATTACTGTGTCAGAAAAGTAACTTAATTGGTAAATAAGTAATTTAACTAAATACTTCTTAAAATCCCTATAAACCTTGAGTGGGCAAACAATAGAAATTAAACTCTTTAAATAATAAATACATTTTTTTAAAGACGGAGACTCTACGCAGCAACAGTATATAAAACATGGACGTCGACCAATGGTTGAGGACTTGTGACAAGACGGTGGGGTGAAAAATGAAGTAAAAGACCAAAGCAAAAGCTTCATGGATATACCTCATACTGGACATGAGGGTATATTATTTGTGAGATAATGCAAGTAAAATGCTCCAAAAGGTACCAACAGCACAAATACATTTTTAATGCTGTTAAGGTGGACATTAGGAGTCTATCGGGACTGACTGGACCAGCCTCTAGTGGCCACTCAAGACACTGCAGTTATTAGCATGTCAATGCAGGTCTAGCTCTTTGGTCCTAAAAGATTTTTTTTTTATCGGTCGTCCAAGTTAAACAGACAAAACTGTTACCAAATTTAAAATTATTGATAAAAAAAATGTCGGTTTAGCTACTTGCTGTCTTGCTGCTCAGTCTTATAAAAATAATGCTTTCTTTCCTGACCTCAAACTCAGCAACTTTAAACACATTGTTGTCATTTAATCTAATCTTAGCATCAAAATATGATTAGTCTTATACAGTGTGACCAAAAACCTTAATGGTATTTTAGGTGAACCACTGTGGTTTGGCTAGATGCAGATTAATAATGTGTTTAAGTACCACACCGCAGGCATTCAGCGTAAACACACCACCGTAGGCAGCAAGTTCCTACATAAAAAGTCAACAAACTGTGTCTCTCTTCATTTAAACAAAAAGTCACATTATTAACCCGGCAGGCTTGTGACAGTTCCGATAATAGAAAGCACTTCTTCTTTCCTACACACCAGAGGCTGCCTGTTGCAAAATGGTTTGGAATTCTTAACAGAACTGGCTGGAGGGAAGCGCGAGCAGCTGAGCCCCTGATAAAACTGCTTAAGCATCACACACATAAATTCTTTTTTGCTGGATTTTAGTCAGCGCGTTGAATTTAACAGAATTAATCTTGAGAGCACGATAGTGAAGGTGACAAATCATGTGCATTAGCAGATGAAAATGTAGTTTCTTAAACTGCATTCCTAAATCTAACTCTGTACTTTGTTTCTGGTGTCTAGTTAGCATGCTAACTCAGTGATGAGCAATGCTAGGTCACAGTAAGGTTAAACCCCACGCAGGGCTCCTTCTGTGGCTCCATCGTGGCTATGTGTGCACCTCTGGGAGAATGTAATTCATTATTACTGCCAGCAGGGGAGCACTTGTGCTTGTTTAATGGTGACTGTTTCACAATCACCATTAAACAACAGAAATAGAAAACGGATGCAAATGAATGTAAATGAGATCCAGTGCACACTCTGTCAGATAAAGCTACACTGTCACAAGTCTGCAACACTCTCACAGTCAAGTGAGAGCGGTTTGAGGTGGGAGGGGATCAAATAAAATACAGCTGACAGAAAAGTCGAGTAGTTCTCAGTGCACATCCCTGATATGGAGAGGAGTGATCTTC